CAAACTCAAAATCATCGCGATGCAGGGGCGGCTAAGTCAGCTAAATGTTCTTGTTCTTCCATCGCAGGTTCTCATTATAAGCCCTAACATGCAGTTTATAGGGACCCGACCAAAAAAGTAGGTTCTTGCAGGAGGGGGAGGATAGGTCAGCGGCATGGTTGATTGCGCTGCAGGTTTTGGGCTGCGGGTCATTTCGGAGTGATGTGATGACGTTGTTAAGCCGACTCTACTGGTTGATAGGTGAGTGTCCGGGCATCAAGTTTTACTGGGAGAATCACGGTTGATGATATAGATCCTGCATTACCTTAAGGACCCTAAACTATGGGAATTAGGCTATATTCCTCGTTATTGTTATGGGTAATGCCTGGTTTATATCATCAACAGTATGGCCCTGGGTTTTTTTTGACCGAAGTGACCGGCAGATCTGCAGGTGGAAAGCCTTGACCCTTAAACCTCAGACCCTGAAAGCCTCAAGCCTTAAATGCTTAATGTAGGGGTCTAAATCATTACCAATACTATTGTGGGGGCTTTGTTATTTCTAGTATAATTGGCCCCCGAAAACCCTGTTCGAACTACCAAGGCCCCTATTTTAAACCTTACACCCTCAACGATGCTCTTTCTGCGGGGATGCCCTGGCGTGGAAAAGGTTGTTGGAAGCATGCCTGTCATGCAGAGAGTAGACATTGATGTGTAGTCGGCGACTCGGCAAGGTTAATTAGTAATGGGGATTTTGGGATTAGGCTTCGGGATTCTGAGCGAGGGAAGTACGGTATGCTCAGCATTCTCGCAGCCCAAACTTGAGATACCTCAGTCAGCAATGCAAGAAGATTCCTCAGCTATCCAAATTACACTGCCGCTGGGTACTAGTTTGCTGTGGAGTCGAAGCTCAGTACCGTCTACCTGTATGTCGCAGGACGACGCTGATGACGATTTCTGGAAGGAGTTCGACATGTGAGGGGCAGCGAGTTCTTCTGCGCAGGGATTTTATGTTAAGAGCACAGGTTATTCCTAAGGCTCAATTCAACTCGAGTCAACGCCCTGGAAGCTGTAGGGTGGAGGCGCAGCATGGTGGAACGACATCTACTCAACCTGCAGCGTTTGCCAAGCACGTCCGAATTTCAGACCGGTGCTATCTGCCGACCCTCTACAGACATAGCAACACCGACATGGCTTTTCATGTTCACTCATGAGGTTCATTCATGAGGTTCACTTGCGTAAAGCCAACCTTAGGTTGTGGTAGTTTACGTTTACTTGGAGGCCCAGGGGACGTAGTAAGTAGGTTATAAGTAGAGTTATAAGTACCCGAAATGGAGTTACCCCAATTATAACTCTACTCATAACCGACTTACTAAGTCCCTGGACCCTCAACCCTAAACCCTAAACCCTAAACCTCTCATAACCGACTTACTAAGTCCCCTGAGCCTCTAAGTAAGGTCGTTTCCCAGAGTTCAAGCCGTCTCACCGCCAAAGACCCGACGATCCCGTCGACCCCGGGCGTTCAGAGCCAAGCAAGAATCCCATTAGCACCCTAGGTTTAAGGGTTTAGGGTTTAGGGCTTAGGGGTTTGGGGTTTGGGGTTTGGGGTTTAGGGTTTAGGGGTTTAGGGTTTAGGGAATTCCTGCGTGCCTGCCAACTTTGGTTTTCGGGTTTAGGGTTTAGGGGGTGTGGGTTTAGTGTAGGCTTGAGGGGTTGGGGATGATCCTAAGTCCCTACTAAACCCTTAACCATAAATCCTCAACCCTAAAAACCCTAAACCTGATCCTAAGTACCTACTAACTGTGTTGGGATCACCGGCCCTGGGTCCCAAACGGTCAATACTACTCCGATCTCCGAGATTCCCGTGTAGAATGCCAGGGTTGGCGATTTCGGGGTGATTCAGGGTTCAGGGTTTAGAGTTTAGGGCTTAGGGTTTAGGGGTTTAGGGCTCAGAGGTTTAAGATTCAGAGCCATAGGTTTTGTTGTCGATCCCATCGCAATTTAGGGTCTTAGGGTTTCGGGTTTCGGGTTCAGGGGTTTAGGGTTTAGGGGCTTAGGGTCTTCGGGTTCAGGGGTTTAGATCTTGAGTAGTTGATGTCAGAGCTTGTTTACAACTCTAGCTGCTTCTTTTGTGAGTGCCGAAACCTTTGCCTATCGATAGTGTCAGAAATGTCAGGCTCCGTCTCAACCCTAAACCCTAATGATCAGACCCTAAACCCTAAGACCCTACGACCCTAAACCCCTAAACCCTAAACCCCTGAACCCGAAACCCAAACCCTAAGACCCTAGACCCTAAAACCCTAAACCCGAAGCCCGAAACCTGAAACCCAACACACGATTGGTCCAGGGTTGTGATGTTTTTTGCTAAGAGCCTGAGCCCTTTAAGATGGTTTGGGGTTAAGGGTGTGGCATTTGGGACTTTAGGCTTTGGGGTTTAGATGGGTTTAGGGTTTTTGTCAGGAGTTTACGTTTAGTTTCGGATTCAGGGCCCTAATTTAGGGATATGTGGGGGTTTTTCGTGGCTTTAATCATAAAAGCTTTGGGCTTTTAGAAGTTAGGGTCCCCACATTCCGGTTTAGGGTTTAGGGTTTAGGGTTTAGGGCTTAGGGTTTAGGCTTTGGACCAGAAGCAACTGACGACCGATTTGTACGTAGCACCTGCAGCGGCTATGGGCCATGCCTCAAATCTCCCGAAGGAAAGCAGCGGCTTCTACCGTAGCACCTTAATGAACCCGATCTAGACTCGAAGCCCTAAACCGTAAATCCTTGACCCATCCTAAACCCCAAAACCACCCTAAACCCCTAAACCCCTAAACCCTAAACCCTGAACCCTAAACCCTAAACCCTAAACCCTAAACCCTAAACCTCACACCCTCAACCCTCCCGTGGTTTTTGGTTTAGGATATGTCTAGGTTTTCCAGAGTTCCACATGGGCGGTTGTCAAAATTATGATCCCTTTCTGGGTCCGTAATACAATACGGCCCCCTAAACCCTAAACCCT